GTAACTTCCTGGAGTGTTTACGCCGCTGTTTTTGGTTAAAGCTAAGCTTACCCTGGTGTATTTTCTTCCCCTTTCTTTTAGCCTATCTGCTAATAAGCATTATTTCCAAATGAACTATTCAGGCTTAACATGTCTAAAAATGTGATAACAACTCAAACAAACCTTTTTGCAGCATCTTTGATAATCTGACACACCTGAAGCTGTTCAGTGGCACTACAGTCTAAAAACACAACAAGGATATAAGGAACACAACTGCAACATCATAAATCTCACATAAGAGTGAACCACATGTTTTAACAGTGGTCTTTTACACCACTGACCTGCAACAGGAAGTTTTCTTAGCTTCTTTGTGAACATTGCACCAAAGTCTGGATTTAAGCTGATGTCCCATGATTAACGTTGTATTTTCATATCTTAGCTTTGGTTTCAAATGTTTGGATTCATCCTGTCCTTCTGATACACTGGCACCTTTCCACTCTGGCCAAATTGTATAAAATAGTAAAAAATTAATAATTAATATAAATAATATATAAATTTTCTCCTTTACAAAATTAATCCGAATCCTATGATTCTTTGACACAAAAAACATCCACAGCACACTGTGTTTTCTTTATCCCCACTGCCCTCACAGTGGTGCCATTTGAAAGCATTTCAACAAGATAAGCGATGTGCCTGACAGAAACTCTCTAAAAATGACTTCTAGTGCAAAGACAAATTTAAAAAAAGGAAACAGTATCCAAACTCTTGTATAGGCTTTAATGGTAGTTATCCTTTAATAGTCACTGTTTGAAAAATACAGTTTGTGATGTTGCATAAAATAAGTCTCTGTTTTACTGAATGTTTCATCTTTGAATAAATGTGCAGATATTTGGTCTTATCTGATGAATTCACCACAAAAATACTATTCCGGGCACACATTGAATGCAACACTAAGGTGTAGCAGAAGTGAAAGAGAAAGCGCTACTGGTGTTTTAAACTGCGCAGGACATAGAGATATTATAATACTAGCATATTCTATAAACTAAATGTTTTTATTACCAAATATCTGAAAAAATATTAGATAGATATCTTTAATATATCTAAAATATCCCCGTTACCTTTGAAGGTATGTTTGAATCTTTTGTTTTTGTGTTCTTATGTATTCCATTTGAAAATAATTGCGTTTGTTTTCTCGTCGG